CCAGCACCACATGCCAGCCAGCCCCGCCCCCTGGTGGGCTGAGCTGGCCACACACACACACACACACACACACACACTATAAATAAATAAATGTAAAAAAAAAACATAAATTAAAAAAAACTGATGGAAATTATTTAAAAAAAAGTATGTCAATTCAACTTAAGTCACTGAGTCTAGAAGAAATTAACTTATCCAAGAACATAAAGTGAAATTAATAAAAATTTAGTAAAATTAAAGTAAAATAAAATTGGGAAACTGTAATAACTTTTCATCTTACGTCATCTAACATCTGTGCTCTTTGCACCACACCACGTCTTTCCTGCTTCTCAGTACCTTCCCTTCTGTGAATTTTCCCAGCTCCATTTTCCCTATGCTGCTGCATTGCTGTCTCATCTCGCTCTCTCCCCTCTCTCCCTCCCCACTTCCTCCTCCTGCTCTTCCCTTCCCCTCTCTGTAGTACTGGGGATAGAACCAGGGCCCCCACATGTAGGCTTGCATTCTTCCACTGAGCTCCACCCTGACTCCCCTCAGGATTTCTGACTGTAGCACCACGGCTGTTATGTTAGGCAGTAGGAGAAAAAACATGAGTCATTGCCTGCATTCTTTATTCAATCTATTCATCTGTTTGATTGTGTGTGTGTGTGTGTGTGTGTGTGTGTGTATGGTTTTGTGTGTGAATCCAGGGCCTCTCACACAGTAAGCATGTGCTCTAGCACCAAGCTTCACTATAGCCAATATTCTTTAATATTCATCTCATAATTTTCTCTCCACTGTACTGATCAGAATTTTCCCTACCACTAAGAGGAAGGGTTTCCTTACTATTAAGAGGAAGAGTTTCTCCTTCCTCTTAAAACTAATGATGACCTTATCCATGCTACCTGTTCCTTTTTTCTTCTTTCAAATCCTACAAGTTCTATCTCTGCGTAGGTTGTACGGGTATGACACTGTAGCAAAAGCATATTCAACGTATGTGAGGACTGGAGTCCCCTCGGCAGGACCCTTCCTTTCTGTCCAGCTTCTCCTCCTCAACAGACAATCACTGCACTTAGTTTCTAGTGTATTTTCTTACAATTTTGCTTTATGTAATTTTGAAAATATTTTGATTTTTGTCCACGAAGGCAATGTATTCTACACAATTTTTTCAACTTAAAATGAATTCTGGAAAATTTTCCATCTCAAACCTTAAAGACACAGAGAGGTTCACTATCTTCTATAGTTTAAACTATTGTATATTTTAAAGCATGAGAGAGAATTTTACAGTGCAGAGGACTGAACTTAGGACCTTGTGCGTGATATGCAAGTGATCTACCCCTGAGCTGTGCCTGCAGCCCACCGCTAAAGAAATGACACGTTTGTGTGGTGGGTACGCTAATTGCTTTCATTTGATCATTACACAATATCTACACGTATCAAAACTTCACAACACACATACTCCATAAATACGCAAAAGAACGTGTCAATTAAAACCTTTTTTTTGAGACAAGGCTTCACTATACAGTTCAGGATGGCCTCAAACTCACAGTGATCCTTACCCCAGCCTCCAGAATGCTGCAAATACGGGCGTGTGCCACCTTGCCTGGCCTGTGTCGATTAAAACAACAGGTGATCACACAGAAGTTGAGACAGGAATGGTGGCTACCAGGGGCTCGAAGATGGGGCTGGGGCTGGCCAGGAGACGCAGCCTTCCAGGTGAGGGGAGGGGTCAAATCTGGAGTGCTATTCCAGAGTACGGTGACTAGAGTTAACAATAACATAGCTTCCAAAAGCTAGAATAAAGGAGTCTGAATATTCCTACATTTTTAAAAACTTCAAACACTCGGATATAATTTAAGACTTAAAGAAAAATTTAATAAATCTCTCCTTACTCCCTTTTTCTGGGTTTTTTTCTTATACTGTTTATGAGTAAGTTGTAGACATGATGGCCCTCTACCCCTAAATAATTTGGCTTTATTTCCCTAAAAAATACTTCTTTATGTCAGATTATACACAACAGGTGCACATTCACAACTCCATTTTCATTTTTATGTCAGTACAGTGAGCAGATTAGAAAATTAAAATTGATATGAAACTGTTGTCTAAAGTGTATTAGTGGGGCTGGAGAGATGGCTCAGTGGTCTAAAGCACCTACTTGAAACAAGTTTGGCAAAGCACAGGGACGGCGGTTCGATCCCCCAGCACCACATGCCAGCCAGCCCCGCCCCCTGGTGGGCTGAGCTGGCCACACACACACACACACACACACACACACTAAATAAAAATGTAATAAATAAAAATAATAATTAAAAAAAAATAAAGTGTATTAGTAAGATTTCACACACTGTCCTGAAAATGTACTGTGTAACAAAAGAAATTTTGAGCTCACATGCATTTGGCTGTTCCGTAACTTTCATCTCCTTTAATCCCCAATGGCTCCTGAACCTTTATTTTTCCTAACATAAACATTTTGCTCAGCCCTCCTGGAGCCTTTATTCCTGGGTGCTCTCGGCTGTTGTGCCTGAGAAATCACTTGTGTGTGCAGACACACGCACACTGGATCTCATATGTGCACATGATTGCACACACATGCACATCTACACATCTACAGCTCTATTTTTGTTTCAATTTGTAGCTTTTTGTATTAAAACCTGCAAGCTCCCACTAGTACCTCTAGCTCTAGTCCAACATGGTAGTGTTCATTCACTTTTTTTTTTTTTTGGTCTTTTTGAGACAGGGTCTCACTATGCAGTTAAGGCTGGCCATGAGCTCACTTTGTAGCCCAGGCTGTTCTCGAACTTGCAATGATCCTCCTGCCTCAGATTCCTGGATGCTGGGATTCCAGGCATGCACCACCACACCTGGCTGCACCCTTATTTTCATACTTGTAATTTTTTTCTCTTAGCATAAGAAACTGACTTCTCATTATTTCTTTTTTCTTTTTGGCAGAACTGGGGATTGAACTCAGGCCTTTGTGCATGCCAGGCAAGTGCTTATTTTACTGAGCTATCTCCCCCGCCCCTGAGTTCTCATTATTTAGAATATATTTACTTATTTGCTCAGTCATCCATGCAGAGAAAGTGGTTTCTGGGTTACTGTAATTTGTGCATCTCTCTACACAAAAGCCTGCAGGTTAGAGCTCAGTAGTGTGGAATTACTTTGCAGCTGCGGAGCAGAGCGCGCTACTCAGGGCCCAGGGCCTGCTGTCAGCTCTACAAGTCCCAGCAGAGCAGTCGCTCCCTCGCCCGCCCGCCTTCCCAGTCATACTATTCCACATCACTGCCCTGTGGGTATCCGACCTCCTAGGACTCTGATTCCCCTTCTTGGGTCTCTTTGTCCCCAGGCAAGGAAACTTGTGTATGTGTTTGCTTTCATTTCTCCATTGTGCTACACAAACAATAGTACAGTATAGATACTCTTTCGCACTGTCTTTTTCATGGAACTGCTTGCCCTGGAAATCACCCCACACTGTTTCACAGATTCCATTCTCCTTTGCTTTTAGATCTGCGTAGTAACTCACACAGCGTAACAGAGGGCGTGTTTGCCCGCAGCTTTGCCAGGATGGCACTACGCTGTCACACCTGTGGGCAACATCATAGCACTGGCAAACGGCAAGTTCTGGGATAGAATCCCAAGCATTCTCTAGCTCCAGTTTAAATTTACTCTTATTATGAATACAGATAGACATTTTGTATGTGCTTATGATCCATTCAAATGTTTTTTTCTGTGAATTTTCTTTTTATGTTATTTGTGCAATTTTTCTATTGGATTCTTAATTTCTTGCTGATTCAGAGGAATATTTTATATATTAGAAAGACTAATTCTCTGCAACTGAAGTGGCAAAATGTTCTCAATTTGACTTTTTTTTTTTACTTTGCATACCATTTTCTTCTGTTGTGAATATACTTGTTTTTTTAAAGTTTATCAATGTTTTACTTTTTTGTACTGACAATCCAACTCAGGACCTTGCACTTGCTGAACTATATCCCCAGCCTTTTCAATCTTTTTTATATGGTATTTGGATTCTCTGTTGTAATTAGAAAGCCTTTCCTCCATGAGGACTATGAAGGAATTCTCCTGTATTTTTTTCTTGCAAAACTGTTTCATTTTTCCCATTTAAATCTTGATTCATCTGAAGACTATTCTGACATTAACTATGATATAGATCCAACTTATGGGCCGGGGAGATAGCTCAGTGGCTGAAGCCCCTGCCTGGCAAGTGCAAGGTCCTGAATCTGATCCCTGGTACCAAAAACCAAAAACCAGTTCTTCCCTCCAGATCCAACTTTACCCCTGTCCAGATGACCCCTCAGAAATCTCAATATCAGATGTTGAATAGACAATCTTTTCAACACCAATTCGCAAAGCCACCTTATCAGATACAAAATTCACCATCTGTTCAACAACTGTCTGTTCAGTGGTGCCCAGAGGTGCCCAGAATACACCAGTGGACAGAGGAGGTGACACTCCCTTCCTTTATTAGAGACACTTCCATCCCATAGGGGCAAGTAGGTGATGAACAGCGGAGATTACAGTATGCTGAAGAGAAAAGCAGAGCAGGGGAAGGGTCTGCAACTGAATGCGGTCTTGTTTTTAGGCTATTCTCTATTACTTAGAATACTGCAATGGCTTTCCAACTAGCTCTCCCTTCAATTCTTGCCTCTCACAAATTCAGTTATACGCCATTGAGGTGGTTTTCCAGCTAGAACTGCAGTATGTATTTGCCTGTTTTCCTGCTCAACTTCTCTCAAACACTCCCCACGACACTTAGAATAAAACCGAAACGCCCCCTCCTGTCCACAGGCCTTGGGTTTAGCTCCTGTGCTCTTCTAACTCCTGTGCACCGCTCACCTCAAGTCGTTATCTTCTTTTTTTAACTTTTCAAATATAGCACAATGATATCCTTAATTTGAATAAAACCACCTCGTTTGTATTTATTAGCATGTTATTAGCATGTTATTCAGTATCTGTCCTGGGCCCTAGGCCAAGTTTCTTTCATCACTGATGTATGCCTGACATCAAGCATGATTTCTGGCATGTATTAGTTGCTCAATAAAATATGCAGTCGATGTATCAACCTCCCTTTTTCTGTTTCTTTCAACCTCCCTCTTAATACAATGAATGGTTTTAGAAAAAAGAAAACACCCATCTGGCTTAAATGCTGAGAAGTAGATGTGCCACCTTAATTCTTTTTTTTTTTAATTATTTTTTAAAAACATTATTGTGTGTGTGTGTGTGTGTGTGTGTGTGTGTGTGTGTGTTTGTGGCCAGCTCAGCCCACCAGGGGGCTGGGCTGGCTGGCATGTGGTGCTGGGGGATTGAACCGTGGTCGCTGTGCTTTTGCTTAGCTTAGCTTGTTCTAAGTAGGTGCTTTAGACCACTGAGCTATCTCACCAGCCCCCACCTTAGTTCTAAACTGTCTTGCTATCCCTATCTGTGAAGGGTCTTCAAATTAATTTAGAACTAGATGAATCTATCCTTGAAATGCAGAGGCCTCCAGGTGCTGTGATACTAAGTAAACGCTCAGCTAGCTGCTAAGCTCACCAGAATCTTACGTTGGTCCTGCCCTTGCTTGCCTCTTCTCTCCTCTCTCCTTGTGTTCTGGTTTCCTACCCTCCGCACCCTGCCTCTGGTCCCAGCGCCTCCACCTTCTGCAGGAGACTTCACCTCATTTCCACGGGCTCGGTCTGACTTCTCCCTGCTCCGGAGCCGGGATGTGCTGTCGTTCACACTCACAACAGCATCTAATATTCCATGCCTTATATATTACTTGTGTCATGTGGGCATTAAAGAATCCCCGTAGAGCTTACTGCTACCTAAAGACAATGATTACAATGGCAACAATAACAAGTCGTCTCTCTGAAGCAGTTGAGACTGGACTTTGGATATAAAGCAAAAAGAATGGTTAAACTGGAGAATTTATAAAAGATAAACGAATCTTTAATTTAAAATATAAATCTATACTAATTTTTCTTTCAAAATGAAGCTAAACCTTTCCATGAGAGCGATTCTGATGACTGAGTATCCATATTCATAAGGCATTTGTTTCAGTTTCATTAAAGTAGATACAGCAAATGATGCTTGGGACACGATAAATCTGTGGAATCCCCTGAGATTTGCACGGTTTTTCTTCCATGTTTTACAATTTTGCTCATACCTAATTTGGTAAGAATATTCTAAAAAGTGAAGAGTTTGTATCAAATTTTCCTAAGGTTTTGATAGAAACAACTTGTAGAATTTTCATAGAAACTACTTACAGAACTCATACATAGCTCATTTACTGACACAATCCTTAGTTAGATTATGGAATCCGGACAACAGGCTTAATGAGGTTAGGAAGAGATGCAGCAGAGCTCCATAAAGGAACCCACGGCAGCGGCCGGCTCCAGCACACTCCGGACCGAGCCCCTTGGAGGCAGCGCAAGGGCCCCGCGTCCCTTCACCACGTGGACAGCGCAGCAAGGCCTAAGCTTCGACGGGCTGCTGAAGCGAATGCCCACGGAAGGGCTACTGTATCTTTCGCTGGCTCCGCAGCAGCATCAACAACAGATGAGACTCCAAGCATGTGGGTCTGGAGGGAAGAGCTAAAAGAGGAATAACAATGAGCGCCCAGGGAAGGTCAGAGCGCTCATATCGCCTTCCCAGGGGTCTCCCCGGGCGGTGGACGGTGCGATTCAGCACTCAAAACTGGGAAAGTGAACGTGCCGACGTTCTGAGAAGGACGGGAGTGTGCCGGAGGAGCGCAGAACCGAGCTCACCCGGGCCGACTCTCTGTGGTCCACCACCCATTGCCCTCTCCTTCATGTCCCCTCCTGGGAAAGAACCGCATTCTGGGAAGGCATAACTGGGAAAAGGAAACAGGCATCTTCTTCACACATGACACTGAGGACACAAACTCCACAGTAAAATCAACCAATAGATTTTCCATATATATGAATAATGAACTAGCTGAGGAAAAAAAATCAGAAAAACAATTCTACCACCAATAGCTTCAAAAAAATGTCCAAGAGCTGGGTATGGTGGCATAGCCCTGTAACCCTAGCACTCAGGGAGCCTGCGGCAGGAGGACTGCTGCAAGTCTGAAGCCAGCATGGGCTCCACAGTGAGCTGAAGGCCAGGTTGAACTTTATAACAAGACCTTATCTCAACAAACAAATAGACAGACAGACAGACAGACAGACAGACAGACAGACAGACAACCGAACTGCTTAGGGATCAATCTAACCAAGGAGATGAAAGACCTGTATGATGGGAATTTCAGAATATGGTAAAAGAAATTGATTAAGACACTGGAAGATGGAAAAACCTATGTGCAAGGACTGGCAGAAGCCATACTGTCCATCGGGATTTTAGCAGAGGTGGTGAAAATTCGATGAATCTTCATGAAAATGTCAGTGACATTCTTCACAGTAGGAAAAAAAAAGGTCTCAGTTGGGGGATGAAGCAGGAGGATCACTATAAATACGAGAACAGCCTAGGCTATAGAGAGAGTTCAGCAAGATCCTGCCTCAAAAAACCAAACCAAATAAGACGAACATCTTAAAAATTCACAGGGAAACACAAAAGACCTAGAGCAGCCAAAGCAATCCTAAGCAAGAAGAGCAAGGCTTTGGGAATCATAACACCAGATTTCAAATTATTCTACAGAGCTATAGTAATAAAAACAGCATGGGCTGACAAATTATTCTACAAAGTCATAGCAACAAAAACAGCATAGTGACAAAAACAGCACAAAAATACCATATAGACCAATGGAGCAGAATCCAGGATGTGGAAATGATCCCACACTACTACAGCCATTTGATTTTTGGCAGTGGAACCAAAAACACATGTTGGAGAAAAGACAGCCTTTTAAACAAATGATGCTGGGAAAATTGGACATCCACATGTAGATGACTCAGAGTAGATCCCTAGCTCTTGGTCTGTACGAAGTCAATTCAAAGATGCATCAGAGATCTAAAATAAGATCTGGAACTCTGAACAGGCAAATAATGTGAACACTTTTCAGAAACAGAAATGGACTATATTATATATATGACTATATTATATATATTAAGTATATATAGTGGACTATATTATATATATATGTATATATATATATAATGTTTATAATCTTTAGACATTGGGGAAATGTGAATCAAAACTACACTGAGATTGGGAGGCTGAGGCAGAAGAATTGCACTGAGTTTGAGGCCTGCTTGGGCTATGTAGTGAGTTAGTTTAAGGCTGATCTGAATTACATGGTGAGACCTGGCCTCAAAACCAAACCAAACCACCCCCTCTCTGGAAAAAAAAAAAAAAAAGAATCTGAAGGCCAGGAGATGGCTCAGTGGAATAAGCACTTCCCTGGCAAGCGCAAGGGCCTGAGTTCAATCCCCGGTTCCACCAAAAAAAAAAAAAAAAAAAAAGAATCTGAAAACAAAACCAAACCACAAAATCTCCACTGAGATTCCATCTCACCCTAGTCCAAAAGGCTACTGCCAAGAATAGGAAGACAGGAAGTGCTTTCTGGGGAGAAGGGGCAGAGCAGCCCTTCTACGGTGCTCTTGCCAGTGTAGTGCAGCCACCATGGGAACTACTAGGGAAGGTCCCAGAAAACCTAAAAATCAACTCACCATGTAACCTGGTTGTACCATTCCTCGGTATATTATATACACAAAGGGATTAAAGTCAGTATCCACAGGGAGACCTGAAAACTCATGTTTATTGTAACACAACTCACAATGGCAAAGAGAAGGAAACAGCCTTAGTGGCTAAGGATGAGTGGGAAAAGAAAATGTGATATATGTACACAGTGGGGTATTATTCAGCAAAAAATAATAAAATGATGTCTTTTGCAGGAAAATAGATATCACTGGAGGTCATCATGTTAAGCAAAATAATGCAGGCTCAGAAAAACAAGTTATACTTTTTTTTTTGAAACAAGGTCTCCCTATGTAGTCAAGGCTGGCCTTGAACTCATGGTGACCCTCCTCCCTCCCCTCCCGACTGCATGGTGCGCATCAGCATTCACAGCCTCCACTTTTCACTAATAAGTATAATCTAAAAAAGAAGAAATCAGAGTAGAAGAGAGACAATTACTAGAAAAGACAGGGGGATACAGAGAGGAGTGTGTAATGGAGGGTGACAGGGAAAAGTTATCAATTATGTTACTAAGAGATGGGAGGCTTGGCGTGGTGGTGTATGCCTGGAATCGCAGCACTCTGGAGGGGACGCAGGAGGACTGCTATGAGTCTGAGGCCAGCCTGGGCTATATAAAGAGTTTAAGGCCAGCATGAAATTCATAGTGAGATCCTTTCTCAAAACACAAGACAAAACAACAGAGAGCTTGTGATGTTGACATAAACTTATTGAGCTGAAAGGTGTCCTCCACATTCTAGTAAATGAAATAGCAGCTTACAAAACAGTATGTACAGCAGTGCCCATTTTTGTTTTATTTATTTATTTATTTATTTATTTATTTATTTATTTATTTTTGCTTATAAACAACAGAATATATTTCCCATACTTCTAGAGGCTGAAGGGCCCAAGACTCAAGGTGCCAGCAGATTGCACATCTCATGAGGGCTAATCATGGATGGCACCTTCTTGCGGTGTCCTCAGACAGTGAAAGGGACAAACAAATGCCACGGACTTCTTTTTTTGCTGCTGCTGTTTTTTTGAGACTGAGTCTTACTGCGTAGTTCTGGCTCGTCTTAAATTCCATATGTAGCCCAGGCTTGGAGTTCTTGGGATTCTCCTGCCTCGGCCTCTGGAGTGCTGAGATTACAGGCTGGCACCACCGTACCTGTAGGGAGCCCCGGAAGCTTGTCTGGGGAGAAGCTCAACGGCACAGACCCCGAGGATGTCATCCGGAACGCCTTTGCCTGCTTCCAGGAGGACTACCTGCACGAGCTGCTCACCACCATGGGCGACCGCTTCACGGACGAGGAGGTGGACGAGCTGCACTGAGAGGCCCCCATCGACAGCCATTTTTTTGTTTTAAAAGATGCATTAATGGATAAAGAGATCAAGCAATTGTCTAGGTGGCGTTCACTTAACACTTGATCAGTCTCTGGGAATGAGATGCTGAGCAAGTTCTTTTTATTTAAGAGAAGTTTTTTTTTTTTTTTTTTTTTTTTATTTGTGTGATTGTAAAATATCTCTAAGTGAGGGAAACTTAGAATTCCTGTATGTGAGGCACTAGGTATGCTAGCTGGATTGCACCAATCATTTCACAAGGTATATCTGTCTCAAACACAATCCTGTGCAATTTAGATATGTGTGATTTTATTTGTCAATTATACTCAATTAAAAAACATGATCAAGGTAAAAATAAAGAACAGTACCTCAGGTCACAACATTGCAGGAAGAACACAGCAAACACCAAGGGTCCCTGACAAGGCACAAAAGAGGAAGATGTTTAACATTGGCTCCAAACAACAAGGAAATGGGTAAATTTTGGAAAAATCTCCACCAAGCCTATTTTTCTTGTTAGCTAGTCAGACGCTAACTTGTAAAATGTTAAATTTTTAAGTTGAAAAATTTAGCTGGAATGTAACACACAAAGCAACAATGTGCCACTTTTCCTTCTTTCTGCAGAGTTTAAAAGTGCTGGTGGAGGTATGACGAAATGGAATTCTCATACCTTAATTATAAACTGCACACCTTTTCTGGATGTCGATGCACCTTAACAGCCTAACCACACAATCTCAACAATTTCACATCTTAAATGTATCCTATGGAAATAAGGCAATGTGAAGGCACACACCATCCCGAAATTCAAAAAATATTGTCCCATATTAGTAACACTTGGAATGACCTAAAAGGTCACCAACAGAAAGTTTTCCAATAATTAGGCTCTGTCCATATAGCAGAAGACCATGCGGGCATTAGAAAGCTTCGAATAATTGCTGAGGATTGGTTTACCATATATTACAAGTAACAGCAGATGACAGTTCATTATGTGGGATACAGGCACCGTATGTGGGCACATTTAGAGGTGCCCCAGAGAAGACTGAAAAGACAAACAAAATCAGCGTATCCCCTGGGGAACAGGGTTAGTGGATTCCTGAGACTCTCTCAAACTCATCTTGAAGGGAAGCCTGGGGCCCAAACAGCTGAAATAATACAGTGGTACTTTGGTTCATGAACTTAATTTTTTTTGGGGGGGGGGTCTTTTTGAGACAGGGTCTCACTCTGCAGCTGACGCTGGCCTTGAACTCACTTTGTAGCCCAGCTTGATCTCAAACTCACAAGGATCCTCCTGCCTCAGTTTCCCAAGTGCCAGGATTGCAGGTGTGTGCTACCACACCCGGCATGAGCTTAATTCTTTGCACGATTTTGGTCATAAGCCAAAGTGGTTGTGAACTGAATCACACTTCCCCATAAGGTCAACACTGAAGCTAACCATTGAATTTGATTTGGTTTGCCACCAAAATAGTGAAAAGAAGCAAGCTTGTGAACCAAGGGACCCACTGCACACGGGGCCATTTTACATCTGCCACCTTGCCTGAGATATCTTCAGATAACTAACAGTGCTTTGTTACTACACATACTTAAAGCGAACAAGTGAAGAGAGGAAAAAATGCACACTATCAAGGCTAGGTTAATATTTTAGAGCTTTGGCTTTGTGTGGGGAAGGCAGCCAGTTTATAGAGTTCCTAAGATATAAACTGAAAGGCTGAAAACTCAACTGCAACACCCTCGGGCCTCATCCCTGGGGGAGTCAGTGCAGGACTTTTTCGCTTCTGTGGTACAAATCCAGCACTGCGGCACATGGGAAGCCCGTGGTTTGCAGCCCTGGCTACCCACCTGGGACATAGGAGATGGTGCCAACGCTCAGGCCACATGCAAAGGCTTCACGCGAACCAGTCCACAGCAGGGCTGGGCACGGCGTGTGACCTCTAGTCTCCAAGTGATGTGAAAATGAGCTTACACGCTGCACACATGCCGACAACCTGTTCTCCTTGCACTTCATCTCCACTTCATCTCTTAATGCATGCTGAAGTTTAGAGCCCAGAGATCCGCTTCTCTTCTCCACCGAGGGATCCTCTGGATGAGCACGCAAAGAAGATGGTGTTCTTGTTTCTCAAAATATTCATCTTACCTTCGTGTGCCAACATGCAGTCCCTAGTAGAACTGCAGTCACTGTGTGGCAGTGTCACCGAAACCCCCCCAGCAATGAGGCTGAGCCAGGTACTATCTAAATTCTGGAAGGTGGTATCGCACGGCGGATCCTCGAGGGCTATTTTCTAGGGCTTCTCAGTGTGGCTCCTGCACTGCCAAGAAGGCACCAATCATTCAGGCAGAGACTCTGCTCTGAGGCTCAAATCTGTCTTCTGTCAGAGATCTCGTGAGATGCACCTTCAGGCTGAGCACCTGCCACGAGATTCACCAGCGCAGCAGACAAAATTCCCAAGTCCTGGTCACTCAGCGACCTAATGAGTCTGTAAAAGATGGAGCACACAAAGGTGTGAGAATCTTTAAAACAGAAAAAAAAAAAAAAAAAAAAAAAAAAAAAGCACTTTAAGAATGTTCGCTTCTCATATTACATAAAGCAGAGCTGTGTGGGTGGATGTATCATTGGAAGAGATTCTGCCGCAGTCCTGCCCCTTCCTCTTCCCAGAATGAAGACACAGTGGTTCTTGATGAGTTTGAAGGTTTTTCATGAGTGGCTTTTGTCTTCCTCAGACAGAGGGAAAAACTGGTATTTCAACAACCACAACAGAGTAAAATGATCTGATTAGCTAAGAACCATGAAAAATGGTCCCTTCCTCTCCACAAAAGTTGTACTGTAAAATTGCTCTAAAAAAACTAGTGATGGAGGGCCGGCCAAATAGCTCAGTGGATTAAAGTGCCTGCAAGCAGGTGTAGCGACTGGGGGTTCGTCCCCAGGCCTGCAGTGCCAGCCCTGCCCCCAGGGCACACTGAGACGGCAATTGAGGCTGGGTGTGGTGGAGCACGCCTGTAATCCCAGCTCTTGGGGGCTGTAAAGTAGAGAATCGCTACGAGTCTGACCTAGTAGTGAGATCCTGAACACCCCGTAGACCCTTCCCTAAAATACAGAAAAAAACAAAAACAAAAATTAGTGATGGAAATAAAGAAGCCATTTCTGACAAGCAATTTTTATAGAGAGGAAGCTACAGATTCTGACTGCGGCAGAATCTCTTCCAATTCTAGCATAATGACCTTGTTAGATAAGGAAGCCATTTACTTTACTCCCAAGAAATGACACTTATCACACAGTTTGCAAACAAGTCACTGACAGGAATGCTTGTGGGGGGAATTTAAAAGTATTTTAACTGCAAGTGGTGCTGGCCCCACCCCTGGGCGCACTGAGCCGACCACCTAGTCTGGGTGTGGTGGTGCTTGCCTGTAATTCCAGTGCTGGGGAGAGAAAACAGGAGAGCCACTCAGGAGTCTGAGCTGCACAGTGAGACCCTGTACCAAATACATAAAATAAATAAATAATATTTTTTAAAAAGCATTTTAGAGCTAGTTTCTTACTGCACTGGCATCAGTTCTGAAAAAGACCCAGTGAATGAAATTTCTCTTAAATTTCACCCAAACACCTCAAAGCAGATGTCTCAAGAGTAACAGAAATGACACCTACTAAGTCAGGCAAAGCAGGGGCTCTCTTTCAAGTATATGAACCGAAAAAGTATAACAGTATCTTTTTAATTTATTTTATTTTATTTATTTTTATTTTTTAATTTTTTATTATTTTTGCAGAACCGGGGTTTGAACTCAGACCCTTGCACTTGCCAGGGAAGCGCTTATTGTAATGAGCCATCTCCCCGGCCCTATTTTATTTTTAAAGAGAAAATAAAATAATGACAATTAGAAATGATACAGAATGTCACTAAGCAAAAATAACACAAATTTGACAGTTTGTTGTACTACATAGTGTTGTCTTCAAATTATTTGTTTAGATTACCAGATACATACATGCAAAATTTGGGGGAAAAAAGTTATAAAAAATTAAGAAGAGTAAAAAACTGTAAGCATTAACTGCTTCTTTCCATACTTCCAAATAGTAATATCTTATACAGTATCTTACTGTCTGCTCAAGAAGGGACTGAATCACTCTAGGAAGAAGCTGGCCACAAGCAAGTTAAGTTTCTTTGCTGCGAATCCTCTAAGAGATTTCCCTGAAAATCTCTGAATCCCAGAAAAACCGTAGAGCCTAGGGAAGCACAGCAGATACTGCCTACTGTGTGCTGTGCACACTGTTTTCCAAATATATTTACTTTGAAAATACTTTGACGGCATCTACTCTTCTTTCTTTTTTCAGGTCTCAGCTTAAATCAGGAGAGATTCTGACATCACAGACCAGGTGAGGGCCCTGGTTTATTTACACTTTTCTTATTCACACAGCACTTTTTAGTATTGAACTATCTGTCTGGGAATCCATCCATCCATCCGTACACCTCAGCATCCACCAAAGTGGGAACCCGCCTGTCTCTTTTACATCTATTTTTAAGGCCCCACACCTGTCAGGTAGTAGGTACTCAATAAATAACTGCTAAGTAAGTAAATGAAAGTGTTCTGGCGCTTGCTTTTCTACTTTAAAAGAACTTTTTGGTTTGGAACCAATTTTAGACTGGAAATTTGCAAAAGCAGTACACACAGAATTCACCCTATGTTGATGCTGCTTATGCTAAGGCTAACATTTTTATAACCATAGTACAGTGATCAAAACTGGGAAATTAACATCAATCTGTGCAACGCTACTAACTCAAGTGATTCACATTCCACCCGTTTCTCCTCCTTTCTGCAGTCCAGCATTCTGCATTAAGCTAGCTCTCCTCGGTGTCCCCCCAATGTGTCACCTCCGCAGGTTGCCTGTTTATCATGAGGTTGACACTTTTCAAAAGAAGACCTAAAGCATCAGATAGCACAGCATGCATGCAGCACGGAGTGGAAATGATGGGCAACGGGTCACGCCACGGAGCCTGCCTGCCCAGCATCCCAGGGCCGTCTTGACAGTGGGGTAGGATGAAAATCTGTCGTTGCGTTAGCCACGGGTGAAATACATTTTGTGCATACAAAGCAAGGTTCCTTTGCGAGTCATCAAGTCATGGCGCGGCGTGGCAATGTACTCGGGCGCCTCACTGTCTGGAAAATGCTTCTGTGCCACTCGGATGTCACCAGGGACAGAGGGCCCCGGCGCGCCTGGGCCTCCTATGCCGCGCATGACACTGACTTCGAGCACACAGTACCGCGAGTTGGAGCAAGACCAAGTTTCAACAGCCCCAGCGTGCCGCCCCTCCCGCCGTGCGCGTGACGTCACTCAGCGTCCCCCGCGGCGCAGGCAACACGAGCGAACGGTTCGAGGCTTAAACCAGGTCCCCGCACTCAGGGGCGGTCGCGCCGGAAAGGTGCGGGGCCAGGACGGCGGGGGCGCGCTCACTCCCCGCCTCCGCGTCCGTCCGTCCGCCCGCCCCCGAGCGAGCGAGCGAGCGTGGCCCCCGCCTCCCGCCGTGGCGTCGGCGCCGAGGCCCGAGAGCGCATGCGTGGGCAGCGGGCCGCCGGGGGGCGCGCGCCCGCACCCGCCTCGCCCAGCCCCCACCCGAGAGCAGGGCGGGGCGCGCCTCTCTGTCCCCGCCGCGGTGCTCCAGCCTCGCTGTCCCCTTGCAGGACTGGACCTCCGCAGTCCCCTCCTCGTTTCACAGGGCTGAAAACTCGAAATACAATAACAGACAGACTTGTACCCCGTGCCCTCTGGAGGCTGTGGCAGGGGGATCGCAATTTCGAGCCCAGGCTGGGCAAGTTAGTGAGATCCTGTCTCAAAATAAAGAATTAAAAAAGGACTGAGGATGTAGCGCCGTGAAAATCCCTGCTACTCTCAACCAATCAGTCAATCAGTCAATCGAGAGCATTCTTACAGATTTACTGCTGAGGAGAACGGAACTCTTCATGGGAACGTTTCGCTTAATTGAGGTTCAAAATTAGTGTTCCTTACCATCAAAATCAATAGAAAAGAATGTCTCGCCTATTGAGGCTTGTTGTAATGAGGTTTTACGTATTTCATCGTTGGAAACTTCCTCCACGTACTGATGTCATACACCAGCACATGGTTGAATTTAGGCATATTCTTTATCTGAATGGTGTTTGTAGGATTCCCTCCGTTTCGTTTCTCAGGCTAACAACGTCATTAGATGGCAGATTTATTGAAGTCCCTGAATTTCATGGTTCAATGGATTTTGCCCTTTGTGGTGGTTCAGAGACCCAAACATGCTACCAGAACTGTAATTTAAGCGTGGAATATACAGCTCCTGTCAATTTTGCATGGGGACAGGGGTTTCACTTGTTCTATATTTTGACAGTATTAAAAATACATAAGCCAGGGGCTGGGGAGATGGCTCAGTAGAATAAGCACTTGCCTGGCAAGCGCAAGGGTCTGAGTTCAATCCCCGGTTCTGCAAAAAACAAAACAAAACCAAAAAAAACAAACAAACAAAAAACAAAAACCATAAGCCAGTTTGACATTACTTGAGATACAAGCAATAGTAGTTACATTTTTTCTTCCTCACTTTACTTTCACTGGGATAAAATACCCAACTCCACAACTTCAAGGAGAAGGCGTTTATTTTGGTTTACACTTTCACTGGGTTCAGTCCATGCTCAGGGTCTCGAGGGCAGGCAGGGAATGGTGGAAGGCCTGGGTGAGAACAGCTGTTCACCTTCATCACTAGAAAGCAGAGAGAGAAGGGAGGACTCTTGGTAACAATTCAGTCCGTCCTTCCGGGTCACAGCCCTGCCCGGTCCAAGCAGGCTCTACTTCTGAATGCGAGACTTTGGGGAGGGGCATTCTAGTTCTAAAGCATAACACCATTGAAATAACTTTATTGTAGTTTATGTTACCCATGCTGTCTTGCTTTGTGACTCTAGGTTGAATTCATTGGGAAATATTATCAAGTCTACAGCAAAAGGCAGTTCCCTACCTGGATGATGGTGATGTTGGGAAAACTACAGGAACCTGGTAGCGCTGGGTGAGGAGACTCCTTAGGTGGGGGGAGGCTGCGGGGTTGGCTGTGGTGGAGCCCACAGAGGAGGAGCCCCCAGGCTGGCCCTGGGGATGCAGAGCCTGGTTCCCACACTCTCCCTAAGAAGTAAGGCCCTGACTGGGCAGTGCCCCCTGGGAAACCCCCTCTTGCTGCCCCAAGTCTCTGCTGTCCAAAGCCGGAGACCCCAAGGACCACACAGGGCGTGCATGGGCCACGGGGAGCATTTGGCTCGCTGTATAATGCTAAGCCATACCTTTCCCCGTGCACAGGGCACCAGGCGAATAAGCCCCAGAGGATTGCTGAGCTGGAGTGGGAAGAGCTGTGGCCTGTGGGTGCTCTCCCAGGTGAGCAGTGTGCCTCTGGCACTTGGTCCTCCCAAGGGGAACCTAAGGGTCCCTTTGGAAGCCTGGGTGTGGCTGCTGCATCTCCCAC